GCGATGCATCATTCTCGCCATGCAGCTATATTACTACATAATACCTATGCTACACCGCTATAAAGGCCGGTATACAGATATACATCTCAAGGAAATATCCCCTTTACCCTTTCCCGCTTGCTCTATGTTACACCGCCTCATACTCATCGCTGGGCATGTATGTGTACCGCCAAACAGCCAGCGCGGTATGATGTTAATTCGATGGCCAGGGCATTATGAATACGCGCATGCTATACGTTGTTGTGCGTGCGGTAGGACTACAGTATAATAATATCGCGACCTAGCTCTCGAGATTGATGATTGTCCTTGCAACAGTAAATCTGCGTCTGGGATGAGATTGGGCGGCTGCTGCTGCTCTGGCGTACTGTAGCAAATGATTTCACGTATGATAAGTAGCGCATTACGCGCATTTCCTCTGTATTTAAGTTTGATTTATGCACTATATTATTTGAACTCGATTAAAATGCCGATGATGCATTTTTCGAAAAAAAGAACAAAAAAAATTACCTTTAATACGATAAATTTCAGGAGGGAAGTGTATTTGGTTATAATTACCTGTCTATGAATAACAAATATACATTAATAAAGTATCATGTTTACGAAATGTCCTTATTTCAGAATTTTAATTATGACCCATAACTTTACCTATCACTTTATGCACAAAAGCTCGATCGAGGAACGAGAGGGTAAAAAACACAAGCCTTCGATGAATTGCCCGTCGGAAGTTCATTAAAATATCGCGCTAAATCATTTACGAGTGTCAAAACCGAGGGGTGAACGCCGTAGCAGCCCCGTAAGCTGCTACAGTAAGCTTCATCAAATTTAATTTTAATTAAGTTTTGTGTTTTGTAGACAGTTGAGCGGCAATGGTATATATAAAAGTATATTATGTGTACAAAGCTGCTCACAGTTTAGAGAGTTGATTTAGTCATATGCTCTATCGAATGGATCTGGCGAAAGCTAGTTCTCAAGCACACCTACTAGTTCTCAGGATAGGTGCGAATTTTCGTACGTAGTGGAATAATGTGAAAGCGAATCGTGGCATATATATATATATATATATATATATATAAGAAAACTTTTGCTCGGAGTCTCTGTGAAAATCATGCGTGTTATTTAACTTTTGTTTGTGCGCATATGCATTGAATTACACACGATGAATAAATTATATGAGCAAAATAAATCAAAGCTTTTATTATCAAGTTCGGGTCGCATATAGTAGTCTCACAAGAAAAAGAGCAAGTTATATACATATATATATATATATATATATATATATAGTTTGCCACTAAAATAAAGCGGTAGCAGCACGGTATATGCACTGTTGGAAAAAGCTGCAAGTTCGAAGTCCACCGGTGTGTGTATATAGAGCCTACACTTCCCGGCTGTTGTACTACTACTCTTTACTCTCGCGCCCACCTGCTTTCTTTTACCAAGAGAAGTTTTTTTGCCTTCTCTCTTTTTCTCTCTTATTCTTTCTTTCAGTAATACACAGGTGCGTGACCGCTGGAGTATTTTTTTCTCTTGCTCGCGCACAGTGTAACTTGGGCACGAACCAGCGACGGAGCGACGACGACGACGGCGGTGACGAGCACGCTGTTATTACTTGAGACTCGTACAAGAGAGCACGAACAGAAGGTCCATATATATACATACACTTGTGTGTGAGTGTGTGTGTGTGAGAGAGAGAGAGGGGGACTTACATACGTGAAGCGCAGCAGCATGGCTGACTTTTTTTCGCTTTATGTTCGGAATGTCGACAAAAGCCCCAGAGAGATATTTCTCTTACTGTATATGTACTTGCACTCCCATGCAGACACACGTACGTACGTACACAAACACACACACACACACACACACACACACACACACACACACACACACACACACACACACACACACACACACACACACACACACACACACACACACACACACACACACACACACACACACACACACACACACACACACACACACACACACACACACACACACACACACACACACACACACACACACACACACACACACACACACACACACACACACACACACACACACACACACACACACACACACACACACACACACACACACACACACACACACACACACACACACACACACACACACACACACACACACACACACACACACACACACACACACACACACACACACACACACACACACACACACACACACACACACACACACACACACACACACACACACACACACACACACACACACACACACACACACACACACACACACACACACACACACACACACACACACACACACACACACACACACACACACACACACACACACACACACACACACACACACACACACACCTACACGGGCACACCAACTAATACCCCTGTACCCTTAAACAGACAAATGAAGCAAAGGCTAAAGCGCTCTGGGATTTTTATTTATGCAAATTTTAATGAGCAGCAACGACAGCAGCCCGCACCGACGACGGTGGCGGCGATAGTGACATTTTTTTAAACCTAGACTAGAATCGCTTCAAGAGAGTAGAACAGCTTTTCTTATACACTCACAACCGCACATATACTAACACTTTCTCGCATACACATATATTTATATTTGTCGAGCGCACCAGGGGTACTATATGTGCGGCTGTGCGCGCGAGCTGAATTATTTTAATACGGTATATGTGCCGCTGCTGCCTCGCATATACTGGCCTCTAGCCCCTACAGTGTGTAAGGTACTTTATTAAAATGCTAATTTTAACTGCATTGAGTCGAGATTTTTTACTCCATTCAGCTACTACATAGTACTACAATGGAATCAAGATTAATCCGACCGAGTTTCACTTCCTTCTTTTTTTCTCTTGATGTAGCTATTTATTTAGTGCGGCTGTATATTGACCTATATCACTTAAAGTTTGAAAAATAAGAAGAAATCACATTTTTCGGTACGTGCGCAGCAATATCAAGTATCGTTTGACAGAAAATGAATTATCAGCAAAAAATAGTGTATTTTCACCGCGAGAAAATCAACTCGTCAGACAAAAAAAAAGAAAAGTCTCGCTCCGTAAGGATAAGTGTCATCGAGGTTCTTTCTCACGTATATAACTCGAGTAATACACTGGACGAAGGGTCCTATACGCAAGAGGGATTGTGCGCTGACGCATCATTATGAAACGGGAGAAAGAGACACACACATATATACGCCCTCTCGCAGGGTGTGAGGGCTGGAGAAGAGTAAGCGAGCCATGCCACTACTACTACCGTGTGCCACGTTGGCTGTCATCGGATTTCTAATTGTCGGCCTTTGTCTACTGCGCTACTACCACTACTTTTATTACCGCCTGCCGCAACTACTACCAACCCAATAGCTGGTCACTCAAATGAGATTTATGTGTGTGTGTGTGTGTGTATGAGTGTATATGCATGGACGCAAGTAGCTTTACTCCATCTACGGCGCTATGAAGGTAGTCGGCGTGTCAAGCCAGCAGAAATTACGACCTCGCAGAGTTCCATTATTTCCTTCAAACTTTTTCAGAAGACTTAATTTGCTTTATTGAAACGCTGATTCGTGCACTCTAGTGTGTGAAATTGTCGTCTACTTTCTGGCCTGTCATTGACTGCTTTTCCCGTGCAATGTACTTATCCACTGATCAAATTAGTCAGCTGATTATCGGGATATACTAGGTGAATCATGCCACCAATATTTTATCCGTGCGATCGATTCAATTGTCATCTAGAATTTATTTTATGCTACATATTTTATTTTCAAAAAATAACAGCATATGCGAATTCGATAACAACCAAGTTACGTTTGCATTTTTATAGTAAGGTTGTTAAAAAAAGAAGGAATTCCCCCTACAGTCGAATAACCTTTTTTCCACGCGCACATCTTGCTCATGAAAATGAATTTTATTATTAAAAACGTCACGCATTTATACGCTCAAATGAATAAGATTTATGAGGATGCTAGGCTTGATGTTTTATTATGTACTCTAGTTTATGATGTTTTCAAGGTGTAATTTCTGCTGAGCTTAAGTAGCTCACTTTTAAATATAGAACTTACTGCGCTCGAGCGAAATAAAAATACAGAGTATACGTTTGCTGCTGTGCTACAAGCCAGGAGCAACCGGCAGCTTGATGTAACATATTGTATACTCATTTAAACCACTTTTTTCATTCTTATTGTATAAGTTTCTTTTATTCGCATAAAGAAGAAAGGTATAAAAAACGAAACTTGCAAGAATCCAAATAGTTTTACTGTATAGCATAAAATTCTTGAGTTTTCAGAAAAAAAGAGAGGAACGTGCGATAAATAAAATATGAAAGTAAAAAGAGTATGTTAAAAAGAAAAGCTCGAGGATAATATGAAAAAAGCAGGAGGAACAAATCGAGTGACTAAAAAAAGAATAAAAATTAACATATGAAGGAAAATGTAAGGAAATGAACTGTATTACCTGGATGATATTGGCTTGTTTTATTTTGTCCAATCTTTTGAGCACACGAATGCATACACTCGAAAATATGTCACGAAAAAAAATGCCAAATAATTTTGTACTTCTAGATATAATGCCAATGGTCGGATATTTGTTTGCTATTTATTTATTTTTTTTTGCAATCTGAATAAACCATTGATCAAGTTGACAACTTTTGACATGGTTTTTTATTTAATTTTCCTCATAAATATTAAAAAGACCACAACAATCGAATGGAGTCAAGTGCCATGTGAATTTGAGTTTGGACATGGATACGCATACAGCTTGAGCTATTCCCATGGTTAGATAAACTTTGAGGAAACTCTACCGAGTAGAACATTCAAAAGAAGATTTACGAGTATGAGTTTGCAGTTGGCGTTGATTGCTTAGCAAGTTTTAAGTATAAAAGATTGAACGCAATTTGCGAATTCGTGTTGTACACTTTTTGTTTCGTACATTTTCACCTTAGTCAAAGTTTGAAGGAAGGGAAAAATGAAGATATCCTGTGTCATATACTCACTGGTTGGTGGATTTCTCATATCTTGAACGACTAGAAGCTGGGCTGCCAGTGAAGCCCTATGACCGGAAGTGCTTTCCGCTACGCACTCGTATCTCCCACTGTCTTCCGATCGTGCCGACGATATCACCACTTTTGATCTTCGTCTGTAGAATAAAAAATTTAATAGATTATTTATCGTTTTGCAAATCATCATAATCACAATATTGTACTATTAAGATTCAAATAACAATTATCTAATAAGGTAATGGATTTACAAATTCCGGAAAAATTATTCATTCAAGATTTTTTCTAAAATAAGAAGCGCAAAAAATACCACAAGTTGTATTTTCATAAAAAAAGTTTTTTTTTTATTAAAAAAAGCAATCCAGCTTAAACTGAATGGAATATTGTAGAAAAAGCATTCCTCGAATTTCGCTCAAGACCGAGGACTACTGGCTGGTAATTTGCAGCTAAAACTTACTAAAATAATATAAATTCAATTTATTCAGCTCATTATATTTTCCCTGTGATTATCTGCTACATGTGCAACTTGATAAGCGTAAGTAACGCTATTCCTCACTTTTGCTCGTCCATACTCCTCCCCTTCCCCATTTGAATTTAAGATTTTAACTAGCATTTAATTTTATTCATATACGTATGGTTATTTGTTTTTGAATTTTCACGTTCTGGTAAGCGCAAGAAATGTGAGTAAGATCGTAGTAAAATTCATAAACGATCGCAGGGTCTATTTTTTTCCTGCATTAGCTATTTTACTAGACGAAGAAAGAGAGTGTAACTAAAGGAGGCGCAGTCTTTAATCATGCAGCCCTCTATTAAGCTCGAATGCGGCGCAGGCGCTGGCAGAGTCTAGCGAATAATTACCTTCAAGAGCCGCTGCTACTGGTGCTGCTCTGATTTTTACAGGCTTCAAGGTAGAAGACGAAGCTATAGGATTAAGAGTGCGACGTTAAGTTTCTTCGACAATTTTACTTTTATACTTGCTAGACGCCCTTTTTTGCGCTAAAGCTGCCTCACACTTTCTTCGCTCCCTTTTTTACTCGTTAAACTCTTTCTCTTTCTCTCTCTTTCCTCCCTCATTCTGCCGTTTTTTTTGTCTTTTAATGCGCCTCTGCACTTTGCTTTTGCCTGTCCCACTTTAAAGTAAAAAAGAAGCGTAGGAGAAACAGGATTGAAAATGTCTTTTTGTTGTGATCGTAGCAGCCAAAAGTTTTGAATCATCTTCTTACTCCTGTTTGATACTCGCAGCAAAGAGAATAAGAGAGGGGAACATACGAGGATCTGTCGGCACAATGGGCAACAAAAAAGAGCAGGGAAGATTCGAGAATTAATGATAACGAGGTACAGATAATTAAGTCTTAACTCCATTGAAACGGCTCAGCACGAGTAAACAATAGTGTGCAGGCATTATATTGACTAGTTAGCACGCGTGTGGGGTGCTTTTTTAATTGGGCGATAAACAATGTTTTCTAGGCCAAATGATCGTTTGGCGATTCGTTAATTAACGAAGTGCTAACATAATTGAAAAGAGCAAAAGTACGAAAGCTTAAACCCAAGCGAAGGTATGTCGGTCGAGACAATAATATCAAATTACAGCTTGTGAGGAATGTAAAGTCCAGTCGATCATCGACTGGAATCAATTAATCAAAGTATTTTTCTGAATACATCAAACTCGTGGTCATTTTCATATCCTAAAATGAAAATTTGTTTTAATTTAACACCTTCTTAATCGATCAGAAAAAGTTTTAATATATCAAGTTCTTTTGACATAAATTACTACCTTTTTACTTTACTTTAGTAGTTATACTTTTATAATTTACTCGAATAACAGAAAGTTTGTACCGTTAGCAATCTTGATCACCGCATTCACACGACTCGGGAAAACTAACTTTCTTCGATTCTAGTGCATATATTTCCGCTAATTTTTCCAGGGGTGTAGGAAACAAAATTGACTCGAAATAATTTTTTTTGCACCTTTCTCTATACAAAGTTATCTTTATTGATGTAAAAAAATGAAAATATACTTTTGCTGGGTAACAAAATGGTGATAAAAGAAAACGAATGACTGCACATTTTAGTAACTAAGATTTATAAGAAAATTTTCGTGAACATCTTTATAACCCATTTGCAATAACATTTATTTGGCACTCAAATCGTGTTTCCGGACTGTTACGTAAGATTTCATTATAGAGAATACATACATACATTGATGAGTATATAAGTATATACCAATATAGAGTTGAACCGCAGAGAGATATCGCCGCGATTCACTCCACTGCGTTTTCAAATGGCTTTGGAGTCAAGCCATGTGGCCCAGCTTGTTCCCTTTTCCTAATACACTCAAGCTCAGAGGTTCTGTCTCCTCGCCATAAAGTTTTCATTGAAAAGATTGCGCAAGTATGCAAACATTCAAATACGCTTGCTTTGCTGATTATACAAATATATTCCATCATTTCGTGAGAGAAAAAATTATCATCAACACATGCTTACGTGAATCTTAATCGAATTTACATTCAATCAAACGTGATGTAGATAATTAAATTTAATGACATTTAATTGAAGAGTGTCGCAAGCGTGCGCGACGAAATTAACTCAGCTGCGGAGCTCGAAATTTCACTCTCTTTGTCAAACGGTGCAATGATTTAGCGCCGGCGTGTGTATTCAATTATTACGTGAATATATTATTTTGAAGAAAAGGTAAATCATCAAATATTCGAATTTCAACGCGTTTCCATTATTCACGACTGGTTGGTGCGCGAGCGAGCCTCGTAAGTATTTCCACACCAAGCCCTAATTAAATTTCATTCGCACTCAACATTTGAGAAGTTCATTAACAAAGATTTAATTGTCGGAACGAGATTCGATGCTTGGCACGACATATGCGCGTCGAGCGTATAAGAGAAGTTTTTTTTCTTACCCCGTGCTTAATGCCTCATTGATGTATTGTGTAGCTATAGGTAAACTACTAGGAGGATACGCACGTGCAAAACTCATACCGACGCTAATTGTATTAAGTGCATATTCGATCACGAGTGTCATAAACGGACTCACACAGGGCAAAACTCGCACTTTTGATCTCTTCAGTTTTTCCTATGCATTTATACATACATACACACGTGCGCGCAATCGCTTGCGCATTAGCACTCGCGTGTGGTACGACTCGATCTGGACCAATGTGGCTTTACATACAGCTGACATTGAGGTTTGGGCATTCTTTTTGCAGCATTCTGTACAATTCATAGAGTATAATAATCGCGGCCGAGCAGAGGGATTGTGGACGGACGTTTGAAGTTTAATCTACTCCACCGAGAGAATACTGTGCATTCGAATAGCAGCGCATTGAAATGTTCGATGATTGTTCAAGTACGAAATTCGCACTGGTCAATCGTGCATTTATTCCTATGCTCGAAATGTGTTCCCCAGTTCGGAGAACTCGTAACTTCGATTACGCTACTGACACGGAAAATACTTGAAACGACTTCTTTTGTGTAGCTGGTCAAGTTGGAATTGGGCAAAAAAATTGTTCTCAGAAAAATCATCAATAACGTTTACGTTTCGTTTTTATCGGCTTCGGTACAGTTTCTTGCAAGCTATTGTAAATATAGCTAGTGGTATCACGTGTACAAAGGTCTACATTGCGGGCGAGAAACAAATGATTCGCTACGAACATTGGCAATGTGTCATCTTGTGCTGCAACAAGAAACAAGCTTTGGTACTTCGAGCGAAGCAGGCCGAAGCTTGTAGCGTTTTCTGTTAGCACATATATAGAAAAGTACAGAAAATGGATGTCTAATGACATTTCGGACCAGTAAGTTTAGCTGTTTCTCTCTCTTTCATTCTCTTTGCTCAGCTACAAGCGATCCGTCTTCCAATGGAAGCGCCTTCGAGCAGCGTATTTTTTTCCTTCTAGTAATCGTAGCTTACACATAGATATGGGTAAATCCAAAAAACACGGCTGCTTTGGATTATTCTAAATGTATTTCTAAAAAAAAAATCGTTCATGCCCATGGATTCTGAGATGAATTCATTGAAGTTTTTGCCTTAAAAATTTTTTTACTAAGTAGATACTTATAGAGAAAAAAATTATGAAGTACATATTTACATTAACAGAATAAAACATTTTACGATTTTGTTTCAGTTTCAAAACTATTTTCTGTAATAAGTATTTCACATCAAAATATTATAAACAATGAAAAGTACCAATCGGACTTTTTCTGGAATGAACTTTCAATTTTCGTCTAAAATATGCTATAATTTTTGAATTACAAAATTGATGTATTGTAGCTCTGTGCTTTTTTTCTTCATAAGATAAACTGGGGACACTGAAAAATTAATTAAACGAGAGCCATACTGCCTTGTCTACGAACATATTTTTTGAATTTGCCCATGTACAGATATAGACCATTTTTATTTATCTCGCGTTTCACTGCACTCTGAGAGTGGGTAATGGGGTTCTTCCGGTTAAACGAATGATGTAAGCCAATGTTGGTAATTTTGTTTTGTTGCTGTTTCAGTCATTGTAAATATAGAGCAACTTACTTCTCGTTTCGATGCTTTGCCACTATTTCGAAATATAAAATATTAATGAAGAAATGACTAGTAATTTAGCGACTAATGACAAAGGATTATTAACAGCCATACTCTGTCCTCAAAAGCTATCAAAGCCATTCGGAAGCAACGATATACCGTCTAGCGACGTTGCCTTTCAATCACACGTGTCTGCGAATATGCAATACGCAACGTAATTTGACATTCTACTCGTATGACAGTGAATTAATCTCGTTAGAGCGGCACGACTTTCTCGTACACTCGGCCAATGGCGTGCTCGAATGTACATAAATGGCATCGAAGAATTACTGAGCAATTAGTCGCACGTGCGCATCTCACCGCGCGCGCGTGTACTCGGTCCGAAGATGATTCTCTTGCGTGCCGCACACCACACACGAGTAGTAAATGAGCCAGAGCACCATGCTATTTACTAGTGTCGACCGTCTTCCCAAAGTGGACCCAGCTAATTTTAGCTTTTGATATTCAGACGCGGAGAGTAAAGTTCAAAGTTTCAGAGCCGGCTTAACTCAACAGTTGAAACGGGGCAAGCTGCGCTTGTTTTTCTAGCTTGTAAATTTATATTAGTGTATGATTGCTT